TAGGCTATGAAGCTCTCCCGCATCCACCATATTCCCCAGACCTTGCTCCCATAGACTACCATTTCTTTAAACATCTCGACGCTTTCTCAAGGAGAAATGCTTCAAAACCCAACATTATGCTGCCGCGGCATTCGACGACTTCATCGCCTCTAGATTTCCGGACTTCTATGCGAATGGGATACTCGAACTTGTTTTTCGTTAACAAAAGTGTGTCAATAGTGATGGTTGTTATTTCGATTGATGAAGTTTCGTTCAAGCCGAGATATATGCATTTGAAGTTTGAGGCGCAAAACCGCAAGAACTTTCTTCACGACCTAATATTTGGAAATGGGACAGCGGCAAAGTTCTTCCCATGTTGAAAGAAAAGCGATTGAGAGCGCACTAGGTCAATGGCTCTTCAAGCTTGCCAAGTTGGAAGTCCAGGTGTCGTTCTGCCAAGGTAGACGCGTTGCACGAATGGAGCCACCCATCACCTTTAAATGACCTGTCTCGTTCATCTTCGACATTTACGAAGAGTCTTTCACATATACTGGGTTGATCTCCGTTTTTGAGAAAGGCCCACCTTCTATTCAGAATTTGAGGCATTGGGCTAGTGCCAATGCGGGATTCGATCTCCGCACCATGCGTGGCGTGTGATAGTGCTCCACTTGCTACTACGCCGCCTTCGACTCTTCGCGGCGAATAGGATCAAAAAACACGAAGAATTCGAGCCTCGGTCACGTATTGTAGTAGCATAAAGGTTCTGTTGTAGTGGAATGAAGACTGTGAACGCTATCACTCTTCTCGGAAGCAATACGTATTCACCTGGGCATCAATGGGTTTTTCTATTGGTGAGCATTCTTAGGGAATCCGCTGCCAGCTGATATTAAGGATAAGTAAGGTAGTTTCCCGTTATTGGCCCCGGACCAAAGTTTTTGATCCCCAACCTGCATAACTATTGGTTGCCAGTTCTCTGGTGGAACTAATGGCGATCCGGTTGGGGAGAGCACATTGAATTGTCGTCGACAGTCGCGCGACTGCACTGGATTTATACTTGGGATGTACTATGTCACGTCGTAAACACTTTAGCGGTTAATTTGCGGCGTTCAGTTGTTCAACCGGTCCTGCGACTGTAAAACTGCGACCGATTACCTAGTTAAACTGCCCACTCATGCGACCATGACGTCAGCCGAAGGACAAATTGGTCCTTGATCTCGCGTGATTCACTTTGCCCTATGAGCGGTGAAGCTTCTCAAAATTGAGCCTGAGGTCTTCAGTAAAGGGCTGGGCTATCAAAGCCAAGGGCTTGCGTATGAGAGCGGGGAGGGTGCAATTGTGAACATTTTTCTTTTTAATTGAAGGTCATTTTGTTCGGCGTTGTTCTCAGAGTGCAATGAAGTAATCTGCAAATTGAAATTATTTCTGAGTCGATCTTCCCTAGAGTTTAGGTCTGGCGAAATGGTGAAACGCGCTACAATACGGACATCTATGCATATGGTGTGCTACTGTGGGAGATGTTCGAAATACCCTACAATTCCCCATATGCTGAATGGAAAGCCTACACTGTTAAGGTGAGCCGTAGCCTGAGGGAGTTTTCTCGAAAAAAGTCAAAGCCAAGGGTGATTTCCAATGGTCTCTTATCACATAGCACGAAAGCTGGGATAAGCTATCGAGGCAGAGATCTGCTGAATCCCTTGGCGCTCTCTTCTATCTTCAACTACGTGTACCAGAATCACAACAACAGGCAGCAGACAATAATATTGTCTTGCAAATGGCTATTGTGGCCATGTTGTACCTTTTCAACTTACAAAATTGCACTCAAGAAATTGATGCTATTAGACGGCGAGCGGAAGTGTTTTTTCCAATAACGTCGCGAAAGTGAACTGGCATCAATGCCCCATATAGAAGTTCGACGTCCAAAAATCAGAAATTTTGAACTGCTGCCAAATTTATTAGAACTTTTCTTTCTCACTTCAGCAGAAAGTAATGGGAGGCTATCGTATGCCTCCACCGCGTGCGATGCCTGAAGAGATGGTAGCCGTTATGGAACTTGCATGGAACCATGATCCCGAGAAAAGGCCCGATGCCACTGGTCTTCGTAAACTGCTGGAAGAAGTAAACAAGGTCGCAAAGCTCCAGTTCTACTCGGTTCACCTTTTTTCTTTTCCGAATTTCGATTAACCCTTTTTCAGAAATACTGCTCCGACGATGAACAATCCAAAACTAAGAGCGTGCTGAAAAGCCGTGCCTGAGACCTTTGTCGTGCCGTTTCGTGACGCTAATCATTATTTGAGATCCAAATTTAGTTCGCATCTGTGTCTACGTACTATTGTAAAGTGTCGAGTGTGCCAATAAAGTTTTTGAATAGATGCCTTTCAAAAGAACTGCGATGCGAGGCTGGAGAATCCTTTTGTGTAAAGATGTATGCTTGTTGAGGGATCTTTCTGGGAAGTTAGCTCAGGAGTAGGATTGCTTGCCGTTCTGTTTCCATTAACCAGGTCCCGTCTCAGAATTCGGTAGGCAGCTGCTTCCCCAGCGTCCCGTTTTTCTCAATGTTGAAAAGAATCGCTATGTTTGATGAAGGTTTATGATTTGTGATCGTTTCCTGGAACTGGATGATAAGGTCATTCATCTGCAAGTGTGCTGATGAATCTTCACGCCTTCTTATCTGCGCGAGTTGTCATTTCTCTCGGATCAGCCATTTGTCTGGTCAGATCGCTGACCTTGGATTTGCAATTGAAAACATTCAAGAGCCTAGGGTTCAGAGAACCGCAAGAAAAAACTATTTTTGGGACGTTTGAGGCAAGCTGAAAGGCCTCCATCCACTCTATTAGGTGGAGCCTTCCGGAGACTGAAAACTCTGATTATAGCCGCGTGATCCACTGAGTTTGGCTCAGGCCTCCTGAGCCATCTATCGTGCCTGAATGGGTCAAACACAACCTGTCTCCCATTAGAAGATCTGTCTGGAACGTCCAGCCAGTGATTCCGTACTGAAGCCTGAAGCAATCAGGATTCATCACCGTCAATTCTCAGAATACCGCCGGGAAACCACCCCTCCAACTCGTGCGACTATTTTTTCGACGGAACCCAGGCGCCCCTTTGTCGACGCCAGATATCAACGGAAACCATTTGTCTTAAGATAGCCGTGATAGCGATCCTCCGAATAGTGCGAAAAACAGTTCGGACAAACGAAACTGATATCACATCTCAATTGTCGACAGTCTACCGGGTCAGGTACAGTGCAGAGCAATTGTAGAACCAAGTAAATGGATCTGATCCTGCCCTTCACTGAATGGCGTCCTTAGTTTGCCCTGATTCGTCCCCACATTATGCGAAATTGCCCGGCTACGTGTAACGGGAGGATTTCCTAGTCAGAACAAGACGACGACGAAATTAGTAGAAATCAGTTGGGTACCTATAACCAACGGTAGTTCAGCAATCTCGCGGGAGTGGTGCATAGGGTTCGCGTCCGTGTCGTATCCCTTCGTGGTTTTTATTTGTGACCCGTTATTCGTTTCCCTTACACTACCGAGCCATCGCTTGTTGCGTTCATCTTCTTATGGCTTTTTTGAACTATAGCTTATCAGCACTCAAACGATCAACGGATTAGATCAGTTGTACAGGAAAAGCCGAGGGTACTGAACTCGTCATCCTTGGAAGGCTTCCGCATCGCTTATTGAACGAAACGACAAAAACATTGATCTCTTCGACAATCAACAAACAGAGTAGGCGCCCACATCCCCTGTCGTGGGGGTTTTTCTCTGTGCCCTCCTACGATCAGATTTTCGTGATGTTAACAGCGCAAAGTACGACACATCAAGTAATGGAGTATCGAGGAAGGGTCTCTCAACACGAGTTGTGTTGGTCTTTCAGACCATCAGCGTGGCGGTAAGGCTGTTCCGAGCCTAGCGAGAGCGAAAGATTCGCCAACCACACTCGCCAGGAAACGGATGGTCTCAAGGGAGGCTCGCATTACTCGGCTTCTCGTATTTCCAAGCTGTATGCTGAGTTGGTGTCCAGATCGCTTAGACAGGCCGACAATGGCGAGAAATCCAGCTGCCAGTTGGGGGGAAGCAGAAAGTTGCTGAATCAGCTGAAGGCTTTTTTGAAATCCTGGAAGTGAAGATGGAGCTGGGGACTTGGAGGGGCCTGAAAATTTTTGAAGAGCAGTAAAGCTCTGTTATCCAGTGGTCATACGTGCTGATTAGCTGCTGTCGGATGGTTTGCAGCTGAGGTACGCTCCCTCAACTTCTCGTGAAACAGTTTCTCTGTGTTCTCCCAACGAAAGATTCCCCCGATCCAAACAGCACAGGGTACGGTACCCATGCTGATGGTGCTGTGAGAGCACTTACGGTGGGTGGGAGGGCTGTACACCGTGTTCACTTGCCCGCTCGAGTGGGTTGGCGGTGCCGATCACCCGCTGGCCAGCGGCCGAGCCGGGCGGTCCCTTCGGAACGCCTGCGGCGTACGAGCGGGCAAGTGGCTGGCTCAACGAAGCCGTCGGTGAACCTCTGCCCGGTGAAGCCGGCGGGCCCGGTCCCGTAGTCCCTGGGCCGTCGAGGAACCTATGCCCGATGAAGCCGAGAGGTTCATGAAACCCGGTGTTCTGTTGTGGAGAGAAAAGTAATCAAGCAACAGCTGTAAGTCGGTCAGAATCCTCGACCAGTCNCGAGCACAATGCAAAACATCGAAACTGATCAATTCAGGCAAGGAAGGGCAGCGACTTTGCATGGATCTCGGTCTGCTTCATAGAGCAGTCAGAAACTAGGTTCAACATAAAAAAAGAAAGGCGAGTGGGAATGAAGGGATATTTGGACATATCTCCTCGTGCCGTTTTGGAAAAATTCAAACGTACACATTTGCCATCGTCCTTTTCGATTTAGTTTGGTTCGATTTGGAGTCTGATCTCTTCAACTACTGTTTGTCATCGATCTTCTCTCTGCTGAGACGCTTAAATACCTACTGTTTACAGCAAAACCCGTCGAGCGCGTCACCTCATAAAGGTCAGAAGAGCACGTGCAACAGTCTTCATGTTGAGTAATTTTTGGTTTCTTACCAGAATTTCGACTTCTCTCCACAACAGAACACCGAGTGTCACGTACCTACCGGCTTCACCGGGCACAGGTTCCCCGACTGCCTCGGCGGCTTCGTCGGTCCGGGCACCGGTACGAATGGGTTGGCGGTGCCGATCACCCGCCGGCCCAGCAGTTTTTGTTTTTCCACCAATGTCTAGCTGTTTCTGCAACTTTTTGCTTTTTTATCAACCCCGGCTTTCATATCAATCTTCAGTTTTTCACTGCTCCAGCTGCTTCTTCCCCATTGTTCGCTTTTTGCCAGACGCCAAATGTTCCAAGCAACCTTTGAAACCACTCCGTTCTTTGCCGAATAGCTGGACGATGCCCCGAACCGCAGGGCATCTAGAATGGGTGGCCTTCCTCTATATTCCATTGCTGGAAGTCTCGTATTTNTGCAGCACGCCGAGGTGTGGATGCTTGCTCTCCTCATCGAACAACAGATCATTGACCAGACACTGACTTGTGGACTTCAGGCCATAGCACTTTTTGTCCTTTCACCGAAGCACTTGCTTCTCAACACGGGCCGGCTCCATGTGGTCGCAGAGGTTCAGCTTCTATTGAGTCAAGAGGAAATGCTGGAGCTTTTTGAAATTTCAAAAGAGGAGAAGAACAGTTGGAGATCTGAACCCTTCATATCATCCCTGACGCCGTCGAACTCTATCCATTAGGCCACCGCTACATGACAGTTTATTGCGTCATTATTGATGGCTGTTTCCACCTAGTTACTTCCTCTAACTACCTCGGAAAGGCTACATGGCATGACACAACGTTCTGTCTTTTAGCGAAGGGGCGAAAACTGTTATTGTCTTCCCAAGAGCTCGTTAAACAGCAATTGATTCACCTTTTTTTCGCTTTAACAACATAAGTAATAAAGCATTTCTATCGTACCGAAAGGCTACCGCCATCATTGCAAAAATTTATTGCCCATGAATGGTCAAGGGCTTATTGCTGCTATTTATGTCGAGGTCCCGCTGTTTCTTCGAGATCTCAGCTCCGAAACATTACGACTCTGAGCGAAGTCCTCAAGAAGCCAACTTAACCACCTTCAAACCGATTCTACCGTGCCCTCCAGTTTTAAAACCCCCTGTGACTTCCGCTTCCACTTCGGCTATTTTCGTTGTGTCAATTTCAGTTCCGCGACTGTCTTGTACGACGCAAGCCATTACACTGAGCAATTGACCTGGCGATCCCATTTCGGGATTTTCTTCTCCACCGAGAAAAATCTGTCTTTTCATCGTCGCCAGTGAAAATGGGGAAAAACGTCCATTCGACGCTCCACGAAATGTCCCCGTAAAAGCGAAAGCGGTTATTCTCTCGGCAATTAAGTCGTTCTTTAAAATCAAGCCGTATATAAGCAACTTTAAACTTTTCCGATCTTCTAGGAACAGCAGCAAAGGCTCAAATATAGACATCTCGAAAGCCACCTAAGCAATTTATCACAATCAGAGTTTGTACTCGGATTTCTGCCAATTGAATGTGAAATCCAACATCGTTCTACGAAGAAGAGAAGTTTTATTGCAACACTTATCAACAAGTAGAGGTACATGAATTGTATAGCATGAGATCATAGAATATAAAATCTGTACAACCAGATAATCACAGATC